AATATACTTTTGCATTTAACTCCTTTAATTTTTCATTCGGGCTTAGTTAGGTTTCTCTTATCTAAAAAATTACAGTAACATTTCTAGAATAATAAGCTGATAAGTGACTGCAAGGCTGTTGCGAAAGTCTTGCGCAAGACCAAGACCATGACCAAAACTGAGTTTGCAAGACCTTGGTCTTGCAAACCCCGAATGGAGTCTTGATTCGCCTTGGTCTCGCATTTGGGCAACACTACTAGGACTCCACCTGGACAAACGACTCACTTGAAACCCGCACAGCACAGCACTTAATAAATAAACGCTCTAAACTTAAAACTATTTACAAAAGACTTATATATATTGCTATAATAAGGCCTATTTGGACTTACGGGATCGAGCTTTGGGGCTCTACTAAACCATCAAATTCCTCTCTAATCCAATCCCTACAACCAAAATTTTTCGTAAAATCCTCAATGCTCCCTACTTTGTCACAAATAAAATCATCCATAACGACCTTAATAAACCATATGTTTCCGATTTAGCTCAATCCTCATACCTATCCGTCCATAATAAACTTCTGAACCATCCGAACTCTCTTGTTTACAACCTTCTATTCCGAGGTGTCTGAAAAGAAGATGGCCTCGGGACCTTCTAATATAGAAATATAAATGGAGTGCTACCATTGGGTAGTTTTTCTTCATGGTGTCATGTTACTTCATGTTATTTATCATTTAATGCAGTTGTAAATTTCAATAATAAAAATTAAAAAAAAAACATTTTTTGGTGATAATAGATCGAATAATATTAGACCGTTGTTCGAGGGTTCTTGTCACAGCGCACTAAGAGTCGTAAAAAAAATACATATAACTTCAAACAGAATTGTTGCACTTAATTTCTGTATTTACTTTTAGGTTATTATATACCAATCGATTTTTTTTTTTAGCAAAATAAGAAAAAAATATTAATCATGTTATTAAATTAGTTATAAAGTATAATAAATAACAAAATCCAAAAGGACCTTCCTCTAAAGTAGTCCATGTAATATAGTTTTGTTATGAAAAAGATAGTTACATTCGTTTTTAGTATTCTTTAAAACTCATAAATTCGCATTTTTATAGATATCAAAAATAAAAATTTTAGTATTTGATTTTCTAAGGGTCTTGCTTTTCCACTCATCGCCTAAAGCATGCATAACTTCTCAGGATTTTCTCTCAATTGAAAAATTCAATTACTGTTCTTACAAACCACATCAGTACGTTTTGGATTAATTCATTCCTTTTAAAGCTATTTTTTTTGGTTCTAATTTGTTTACGGAGGTCGGGTTTGTACCATTTTGTATAGCATACAGAACCTTAAGCCCCTACTAATTTTCATGTGATTCGATGAAGTCGTTTTGAAGATATTTTTGTGGTTCGTGACAAAAGTTTTAATGGTCCGGCATAGGTAAAAAAATCATGCAAAAATAGTTTTAAATTTTCAGTTGCTATGAAAATTCGTATTTTAGTGCTTTTTTGTGAACCGAAAAAAAGAATATCACCTTTGATTCTCGCCTCTCCAAAAAAAAATTACTGTCACATTGCCAGGTAAATAGATCAAATCATACGATAGCTATCTTCCAAATATAATACTGTTTCTAAACTGCCCCGGTATAGCCTTATACACTCATCATGAGTGGAGAATTTGGCCATTGCCACAACTCCAAGATATATACTACAAAATATCTCTGGGCCATTGCCGTATCAACCTTCGAGAAGGATTGTAGGGATGAGCGGAACTAGATAGGGATTGTGCTAGGGGATTTGGATGATTTATAAGATTCTGATGGAATTTAGAAAAATTTTCAGTGATAAGGTCGAGGAAAATGGGGTATTAAGGCCATGATGTAAGGTTTTGTTGGTCACATAGTAAGGAGCATCGACTATTGTTCGAAGGACTTTATACTGAAATGATTGGACGCGTTTGATGTTAGAAAATTTTACTGTCCCCCAAAGTTCAAGTCCGTAGGTCCAAATAGGTCTCAGGATTGTCTTGTAGATCAGTAATTTGTTGTCAATTGAAAGTTGAAATTTTCTGGTCATTTGTCTCTTATAATAGGCCGTATCATAGGTTAAGTTCAAGCCCCGGTATCTAGAATAAATTTTTTTTGTGTGTAGTTAATACATTTTTTATGTATCTATTATTATTTTATTTTTATAAAGTTCCATACTAGGTAATTATTTATAGAGAAGATACGTTAAGAAGAGCACGCTGTAAGGGGTTGACGGACAGGGGACTGAGTCAGAGCTTCTATAGGTCGATATGTTGATTCAGGGCGGGAGCCTTGGCAAGACGGGGCCGACGCCTCCAGTCAGCTTTTGTTCCACTTCTTAATATTTATTAATAATAAATAAATATAAAGTATTTATCATAACAGTATATGGAGAACCTCGACGTTTCCATTCTGGTTAGAATTAAACAAACTCCTCTAGAACAAAGTCACCGTATCCCGTAAATGGCTAGGTCAAATTGGCGGCATTGCATCCCTTGCTTCTTTTTTTGTTTTATATGGTTTTCACTGAAGATACCTGTGGAAAAAAAATAGGTACATCCTGCGCATTAGCGGCTGCGCAATTAGAGACAACAATTTTTCTATAGAATGTAACGGAAAAACTTCTTTAACGATTTTGATGAAACTTTCCTGTAATTTTCTACTTAAAGTACTTTCAATATTTGTACATGTTGTGAATTCCTGAAAAAAATCACTAAAACCAGTTATAAAAAAAACGAACAATGTTTTGGGGCCTAACTCATAAAATATACATTCTTTGGTAAAATTTATATAGAATGTTTTGAAACAGAATTCAATTTTCTACAAAACAAACAAAAATGAGGTTTGCACTTTTTTTCACTCACCGTTACATTCTACAACTTTCTATATTAGATATTTATATTTTCTAAAATTCTCCGCTTTCCAACGATATATTATACGTATACTTTCTGATTAGTATTTCCGGAGATTAATTTTCGACCTGGGTAAGCATTTTTATCCTTTATCCAATTATCAAATTCTTTCAAAAGTTATATTTAGTATTTTTTCGTATCTCTTAATAATGAGGACACTTAATTATTTAGAGGAAGATGCATATAAACACCTGAATGATAATAAAGACCACTTAATTATACAATAATACACCAAGTTTAATCAAAATCGTTAGAGCCGTTTTTAGGAAAATTGTAAAAATGTGTTTCACCGTTGAGATAAAGTATCACTTCCAGGTAGCCGATTTTAAGGAAAAATTTTCTGTGATATCTAAGACACGTGCCTATCTTAAATACGTAATATCAGTTTCGTACGATTCTTCGTTTTTGAGCTAGACTGCTAATATACAGACACACAGACACAGACCATTTTTCGGGACTTGGTTATTTGGACTCAATGTACCCCAAAAGGTGTATTTCCGTTGAGAACTGAGATTTTCACGATTCCTATACTTATCCTTACTATATATTACATACATACGTAACTGAAAGTAAAACGTTTTAACTATGGTGTAATAGGCAATTAAGTTTTATAATTCAGTCTATTTTAATTAACCAGAATCAAGATTTTATTTATAATATCTCGTACTAGAGTACTATGGATATGGTGCAGAGCACCGAAAGCTCCAAAACATAAATATGAGACCGTAAAAATAAAGTTTTTTTTTTCTTACTTTCATTTTTGGTTTATTATTTTCAATAATCAACCATTGTGATCGACCAAAAAATTCAAAAACTTAACCCCCTCTAAAAATTTGAAGTTTAACGTTTCAGGATGCTTACAATTCGAAAAAAAAATAAAAATTTTTTTGTTCGTCCACCGTCCGCGCATTTCCACCGAAACTACTGGACCGATTTTTTTTCAAATTTTGATATAAAATCCAGAGGTCACCCGAGGATGATCCTCCTTCATCGACATTACTCTCCGCCTTTAACTTTCAAAATGGCGGCCGAAAAACCTGCGTTGCTATAGACTGTAGCTCCTAAACGAATGTACAGATTTCAATGAAACTTCGCTAAAGTCATTTTCTCGACGCCATTTAAATTTATCTATATAACATACTTCAACGAAAAGAAGCTGGAAAAAAAGTTATGAGGAATGGTAAAATTAAATTCCGAATAACTCAAAAAATTTAAACTTTTTTGTCGTTAGTGTATATGGATTTTTAACAGTTTACGAAATTTTCTAAAAACAAAAAAAAATCGTCAAAATCAGACAATTAGGAACAAAGATATGGTCTCCTGTTTTTTTTTTTTATATATTCTACTCCAAATGTTATATCCTTTGTTTGGTTTTTAAATTTTGAATGTGCTATTGAAATAATGCTTTTTTTTAGCATCTTACTAATGATAAAAAAAAAAAAGTTTATTCTAATAATTGGAATCATCTTTTATTAATTTTATTATTTGTAACTCGAAAAGTTTTTACTTTTTTGTTGATATTGATAGTTTTTTTAAAGTTTACGAAATTTCCTAAAAAAAAATCGTTAAAATCGGACAATTAGGAGCAAACATATGGTCTCCGGTTTTTTAAATATGTTCTACTCTAAATGTTATATCCTTGGTTTGGTTTTTAAATTTTTAATGTGTTACTGAACTAATGCTATTTTTTTTTTAGCATATTACTAATGATTAAAGAAAAACATTTTAGTCCAATAATTGGAATCACCTTTTGTTTTTTTTTTTTCGTTGTAACTCGGAAGGTAATGTTACTTTAGATGTATAATTGTTTGGAAATAATAAACCATTGTGTAATAATTTGCAGCGTTTTTTTTTTTTTTCAAATAGGCTGAAAGATCCCTTTTCATTTGGTCCCTTTTACAAGGAAATCTCGAGTGGAGGTAGAGTATTGACTATGCATACCACCACTAATGTTATTTTTTAGACGTTGCAATAATATCTTAATAAAGTTAGTATAGTAATGTACTAATACGGAAAGTCGTTTCATTGTCTTATCGTATATGTTATTGTGTCTTATTGTGTTATTGTTATTGTACGCTTAGATCCAGATGGCGCAGGGAGTGTTCTGCCCTAACAGAGTGTTTGGTGTGATGGCCCTGGACGAGATGCGGGCCTCTACCTTGGCGGCGGTGAAGCTGGGTCTTCCTCCGGGAACTGTCAAAGTGCAGCTGACCGGAGGAGCCACTGCGGACACCGTAGTACCGGTGATGTCTGCCGCACAGCCCGGAGGAGAAGCCTTGAAGGTAAGTCAAAGAGGAGTGAGAATAAAATAAAATGGTGGATAATTGTCTAATGGGAATGTCATCGACAGCCAGACATGATCGAGCTGATGAACATGCTGCGGTCCATGACAGACCACGTGAAGGAGGCCTCTCACCAGGGACCTCACCTCAGCGGGGGTCATGCCACTGCCAAGTTCATCCTGTCCTTAGTCAAAGGTAATAATAATATTACATATTTTTTTCTGTTGTCATTTTATAATTGAGTATCCTATAGACAGAGGAGTATAAGAGCATTTTCTGAAAAAAAAAAAAAAGAAAAGAAAAGTGTTATGCTTTAGACTACACGATAGAAGTGAAAATAACAAGGCGAGATTAATAATACGAAATATAAATGATAAATAATAGCTCACTATAAAGAGGATGAAATGCCGAATATTTCCCTCGCTTACAATATGCAGAAGGAATTTTTAGTTTCTGAGATATTTTAGAATAGAATAATAGAATAGAACAGAAAATAATTTTACTCTGGGACGAAGTCCCTTTAGAATAACAATAAATAACAAAATTAAAATGTTGTATCTGGCCAAATAAAAACAAACATAAAAAGTAAAGGTAAAGCTAAATCAGTAAAAAAAATATTAGTTTTACATACTATATACAAAATAAAAAATCTATATACAAAACTCTTGAACCTTGCCAAGACACTTAAAACTGTACAATTGGAAAATATAAATATATACTTTTAGAAAAAAAAAAAGTCGAATCTGTATGTATGTCAATACATTATTATGAATAATATGTAGTTTTTCATACACGGTTAGCGAGTATCTGACTGTTTTTGGGACAGGAATTGGAAAAGGAGGGTTTTGAATGTAGACAGGGATGAAGAATGCCGAATTTTGATAGGAAGGGAATTCCAAAATTCAACAGAGCGAGCTATGAAGGAGTTTTGGCAGAGGAGGAGGCAGATCTGTCAGAAGGAATGTAAAGGTCAGAAGGTCGAGATCTTGTGGAAAGGGAGTGGACTGAGGATTTGAATTGGAGAAGGTTGTAGGCGTAAGAAGGACAATGATTGTTGATGATATGATAGAGGAATGTACCTAGGAAATATTGTCTTCGAATGGAGGGGAAGAGTAACATAACTCAGTATAGTGGTGAGAGACATGGTAGTATATCGGGGTACCAATTACAAATCTCCAGCTATTTTAATCCATATCTTATAATCGTTATAATTATATTATAATTATCTTATATTTTATAATTTAATAAAAATCGTTATAATTTGATTTTCGATACTATTTTTGCTTCCTCACTACCGAAGGTATGGAAGCATTGTATTCGTGCTAGAGGTTAAAAAAAATTGTGTGCTCAGAATCGAAAATTTTCATCCGCATTTTACGTTCCAGACATCAAATATCAAATTTGTCAGTACCTCTACAGAGGTGTCAGTACCTCTGTAGTCCAATCGATGTAACGGGCATATCACCTAGTATCGTTTATCCGATTTTCAGGAATTGTGCAGGTTGGTCCTTAGACGGTTCCAAATCAATTTCATTAAATTCTAACCAGCACTTCCGCTTAAGCACACGCAAACACATTTTTGTAGATATACCAATATTTCAGAAATGGCTCAAAATTGGATAAAATATAGGTATTTGTAAAAAAATAATGTAGGATCAATTTTATTAAATTCTGTCCATTACTTTCTCTTATATATATGCTCAAACGTGTTTTCCTTGATACGTCTATATCTCTAAAATCTCAAGTTCAATTTGGCTCAAATTTGGAGGGAACTTAGTGATTGGTAAACGTAAAATAAAATATTAATCAATTTTATCAAATTCTATCTACTACTACAAAAAAAAAAAAAAAACTTCCGCTTTCAGATCAGGAAATGTGTTATTAGATATACCTATAGTTTGGAAACGGCGCATTCAATTTGACCCAAACTTAAAGGAAATTTGGGAACAGTATAGAAATAATTTTATAGTATCAATTTCATTGAATTCCGTTTAATAATTAAAATTTATAATCATAATTGTTAACTATATAATGATAATGGCAGTGAAATGAGCCGTTTATTTTGAAAATGGCCTAAATCCGTTTTTCAATTTTTTGCCGGTTACCATGGTTACATGTACAACTTAATACAATATATCAGTAAAATATTTCAGGTTGCTTATATTCCGAGCAAATACGATAAATTTTTGACACATCAGTTTTCAGAATTAGTTCAATAACTGAACCGGGTAGTTTGAAATGGCCTAACTCCATTTATTTTATACTTGCATCAAGATATTTACTATTTATAATGTTGGAAAGCAGCCATGAAGGTAAGTTCAATTTATACGAGCTTCATTGCGAAGAAAATAAAATAAAAGACGTTAAAGAGTGGACTTATAGGAAAATATTTAAAAAAGATTTTGATTTACATTTCCACCCACCGCTCAAAGATACATGCCAAAAATGCGACTTATTAAACTTTAAAATTAAAGCAGCGAATGTTGAAGAAAAGAATAAACTCACCGAAGAACACGATGTCCATTTAAGACTAGCAGAATCAGCTAGAAATTTACTAAATTGACACTTATTGCCGATAATGAGATTTTGTGTAATTCTCAGTACATTTTTACTCTGAGTTTGTAAAAAAAAAAGTCTTATTTGTGATTGTGTTTATTTCCATAAATGTTCAACCAGTTCCTCTTGTTGAAGTTATTGTTCGAAGCCTCGAATGTTGAAGGGTAACTGAATTTCCTAATCGGCTTCTCTCAGAGATTTTATTCTGATGCGAAAAATTGTATACCTTGTAATAAAATTATATCTTAGCCAATGAAAATGGCGAGGAAGCTATACTGACTTTACGTGGCAGAAGGTTTCCCTCGTCTACTGTCTAAAATGGTGTTGGGTTCAGATACAATTTTGAAAAATTTGCTGATTACAAAAAAGATGAAATACTGAACATTTCCCTTGCTTACAGTATGCAGGAGCGATTTTTAATTTATGAGATATTTTAATCAATATCTTCCATATTTTAGCTGTAAAATTTTTTCTCTTGGTGGTTAGAGTTAGCAATTTTTTTTTATACACATGCTTTCGTAATTTACAATGAAACCTTGGCCTGCGAAGAGGTCGATTTTCGGGCCCTGGCTCCAGGTCCATGTATATATTATTACATTATTATAATATAATACTAAATATTATTTGTACAGGTCTGAGCAGAGATGAGCAGGTGAAGCTGTCTGCAGCAGTGAGGACTTCAGCACTTGTCGGTGTACCCTACCTCACCCTCCCGGTGACCGTAAGCCGTTCGGGGATCATCGGAACAGCTGGGATACCTCGCCTTAGCAAGTTGGAGCTAAAGTAATCTTATAGAATAAAATCGTTATTTTTAATAATAAGTGATAATAACCCTCTTGTAAAAACGTACTAGTGTGCAAACCCAAATAGTCCATGGTACAGATTTTTATCGAATTATTAACATCCGCCTAAAACTTCATAAATAGCTTCATCTCATCGTAACCTACAATGTTTTATTTGCGAAAATTCTCGGAATCTGGGTGTTTTCATCTGGAGATCGGCAAACTTTGTCTTTTTAATTAGATACTAAAAACTTATGAATATCCATTTGCTTTCCCCTCGAACCGTAATATAATATGATCAGATGAAGTCGGAAAAAAAAGGTAGCCTACAAAAATGTGTGATTTCCGCCCACAAAATGTCAAAGTAAAGAAGTTATATAGGCCAAACGGCCCAATATTTTTGTAGGCAATCTTTTTTTATTGATTTTGGGATCAAATTATCTTACGATTTAAGTGGAAAGCAAATGGGTATTTACGAGTTTTTACTGTTTAATTTAATAGAAAAAGTTTGCCGAACTTCGGATTGAAAAGGTCCCAATTCCGAGAATTTTCGTAGATAAAATAATTGAAGGATACAGTGAGATGAAGCTATTTACGAAGATTCAATCGGATGTGAATAATTTTATAAAAAAAAGTAAATAAAAATTTGCTTGCGTCACAGCCGTCTTCAAAATTTTTTTTTTTTTAAACCATTTCCCCCTCTCTCTCTCTCTCTCTCTCTCTCACTCTGTGTGTGTGTGTGTGTGTGTGTGTGTAAGATTCGAAAGAAAAGTTGTCCGTAAGATAACAGGACCTATACGGGACCAGAACATTGACACATGGAGGAGAAGGAACAATAAAGAACTGCTGAATGAAACTGGTCAGTTAATATATATCATGACATGAGGAGGCAAGGAGGTTAAGATGGGGAGGGCATGTAGCTTGTAGCAATCTATCAGAACGCCTTTACACAACAATGAATGCCAGAGTAGTAGGCAAAAGACCACGTGGAAGGCCAAAAACCAGATGGATAGATAGGATAAACAAAGATACAGCTGAGCTTCACGCCGCAAACTAGAAAGCAGTAGCCCAAGATAGGCAGAGGTAAAGAAGGCTGGTTCAGGCGGCCAAAGATCTACAAGCTCTGTAGAGCGAATATAAAAAAAAAAATAAATATTATTATTACATTTCTCCATGCGTTCTTTATTATTGCTTCAGTTTAATTAAATATAGTTAGAATTTTATTAATACCGTTAAGAAAAGGCAATTGAAAATATTTAAAAAAACTTAATAAATAATTAATTAATATTTAAATAATTGAGTATAGTAATATTGTTGTTAATTTGTTAGGGCTTTCATGCGTGCGCTCCCTACCATCCTGGAACACATCGCACTGGGAGAAGCTTGCGCGGCCCATAGAGAATTCGGTCAGGACGACCTCTTGGATCTCTACCAATAGAAGAAATGGAGGAATCGGAAGTGGAGGAGTTCTAAAATGGACTATTATGACTGAGATCCGTTGTCACGATAATATAATATGTTACGGGTGTTTTACAGAATCAAATACATTCCATATTAACTGTCTTACAGATAAACATATATTAACATAGTTATAACACTTGTTAAATAATTCAAATATATTGGTTGTTGAGTTTTTGCTAAAGAGATTGTTCTTGACTTTAGCAAGGATACTAATTACATTTATTAACAAGTAGGATATATATTTGAAATCAGAATAATATTTAAACAAACAGTGCAAACAGTCTTGTTATAAGTTTGGATAAGTTAATTTCGTTTACGTAAGCACCTAGATACTTCTCTAGACTTAATACAACCATTAGAATTAAATTGTTTTATTAATTTAATTCTTTAGTTTTAATTAAAACTATTTTGGACATTTACATAAATATTTCAATAATTCAAAAATAAAATTTATCTAGTCTATGAAAACTAAAATGGCTTTAAGTAAAAGATTATAGGGAAGTTTTATACAAAAATTCTTAGAGCAATTTTGATGTTACACAGTCTTTGTAAAAAATGTTTTCCTATAGCGCATCCTAAATACGGAATGATTGCTATAATAGCGATCTGGATGAAAGAGGATTAATATTCAATTTATCCGCATGGATAATTAGTGATAGATAACAATGATAGATTGCAATTAACATATTAATTGACGGTAATGATTAAGTAAGGACTTATAAAAGAGTGGTGATAAAGGGAGTTCTCTATAAATAGAATGTAGTACAATAAGTGCCAGTCTGTAGGAGATAAAGAGGCTTAAGTCTGACCTCTTACTATACTTAGGGTCAAGTTCTTTGCTAATCGTATGTCTAATAATAACTGAAATGATTAAAATTATAATAATCAAAGGGTTGAAAATCGTAATAAGTTATTAATCATTATGATTTTGAAGTATTTATTGGCTCTTTTCATATGAAATGTCACTTTTAACAGAAAAGACTATATAGTAAAAGGATTTTATGAAATCAAAACATTTTTATTCGAAATAAATACCCTGATATATTATAAATTTATCAATCCTAGAACAGAAAAATCAGGGTTTTGTGTCCAAATGGATGCAAAAAATGCGTTTTTAACCTCAGAGTGATTTTCAAAAACTAAGCTTTAAGGAAGTTATCCAAATTTCTGAACGGATGGAAATATGTTAAAGAAAAGTCTAGCGAATAAGTTAGGTTTGGAAGAACTTCATAACACACAGTTCGATTACTTCCTTCACTGTAGTAAACATGAGGCCGTGTAAGAGTATAGGTCTCTTCCGATTAATCAATGCAGATTGTTTTTCAAAAGATTTTGATGGTTTCATCTCTGTGTTAAAAGGAGAAATGAATTATTCCAGCCATTGACACAGATCCAATAATTTCTTCGGATGTAAATTTTTTTTTTCTCTCGAATGTTCCGTTCGTTACAATAGCGTGATAATGTTTCTTGTAGCTTGGGCTGTCGAGTGTCCAAGTTTGACGTAAAAAAAAAAAAAAAATAGCGTGTTACCATGGCCACATTTGATGGTATACTAAACAATGTGCTATAAATTTAAATGATGATAAATATTATGAAAAAATTGAGTATTAATAACGGCTCATTAGCGTAAACGTAGTAAACAACAATAGTCGACTAATTCCTCTTTGAATTTATGAAATAATAAAAACGAATATTTCATATATAATGACCCAATAAAAAAGTAAGAAAAAAAATATCTGGTGTGTTCACTCACACGACTTTCCTACATATTTCAGAAAAGTTTTTATATCTTTACATCTGTTCATGAAGAAACAAAAATAATTGAACTAGATACATTTTCCTGAAAATTGATTAAACATAAGATTTGAGTACGATTTATTTCATAAACTAAAGTTTAACGGTTTTCTAAATGTAAACCGGCTTAAGGTAGATCAGTGTACAAATTTCAATACTTCCTAATATTGATGATCAAAAGCTTTTTGCCATAGCTTAGTATTGTCAAACAATAATTTCTGTTAAAAGTAGAGGAAATAGTGAAGATTGTGTGATGCGGGCAACAGATTTTCTTATTTTCACTTAGTCATCTTTATTCTCTCTTCACCCCATTCTGACACTAGGATATGAAACCGTAATAATTGAATAGCTATAACTTCGTTAATAGTTGTCCAAAATGAACGATTTTTATATGGCTTTAGGGAATTTCATTAACTTTCAAACGACGGACCAAACGGCATCAGTATTATATATAAAACCTTACAAAATAAAAAAAGAAGAAAAAATGGGTTCAGTAGTTCCCGAGAAAATCTTGGCTCAGACAGACAGACCAATGGCTAAAAATGTGTTTTTCGGACTCAGGGGGCTCTGAAACGGATAGATCCGTCGAAAGCCACATGTCGGAAATTTGACCCGATTGCAATACTTTCCTCACCTAGTATTGGTAGGAAAGTAATAATATAAACCAGTAAGAACTCTCACAATAAATATCAATTCTTTTCTCTAATGCTCTAATGCATTCTAGGTATCAGTAACACATCTTTAATTGTGTATAAAATATAATAATATCAAGATAGTCTATTCACCACAGCTGAATCTTCATATCTTACCAGAACTCTTAAACATAACGATTTAGTTAATAAGTTATTAACTTGTCCCATTGGAAAATATTCCTTCACTTTAATAGTTAATAGGCAATTAACTGATTAAAACTTTGAAAGCATCGTATTTAGCAGTTGTATACATCATGATTTCAGGTCACACCACCAGTTCCCACCAAACCTCCGAGAGGCGTCTCTTTGAAGGTACACACAAAGTTATTAGCTAAACCTTTTATATTATTTAAAAAGTGCAATTTTAATCTAATAAAGACCATTATTCTTATACTGATACATTATTGTACTCTCTCAAGAACAATTTGTTTTCTGCAGAATAACCTTACTTTGTAAAGAGGAATGGTGCCGGTTTTCGAAAACCAGTTTCAGATTTATATATTTATTCAATGATTGATCTTAGTAACGAAGTGACATTACTATCAATTACTTACATAACTTTATGTAAAATTATTGACAAAATTTGTCAAGGAATATTCAAGGTGCACAATAAGATCTAAATTTAAATAAAATTTTATTATTATGCTGTAAATAAAACTTCAGAAATTATGTAAAATTTTATATTTTCTTAAGAGTATAATATTGTTTGATGTACACGTGTTATATTCATCTAAATATATCCCATCTACATAACAAACGTACGAGATCAATCAATGAAGAACGCTTTGCAGTCACGAGCTGATAAGCCAGCGATTGTAAAGATTCAGATCTTTGAGATCTGTAAGCTACTGATAAATAGGTCGAACCTAAAAAAGCCTCAAGCTATAAATACTTTTTCTCGAAGGAATATATTCAGAACTCGGTTTATTTAAAGAAAGTAGCTTAACAAAATAATATTAACGACTGTTAATACGAATACGCATAAGAAATTTAAGGAAAGATCTTTTAGTGAGAATGCTCTAATTTAAATGATATTCAGTTTCACATACAGCCTATAATTTATTGGTTCAAATTACTATCATAACCTTTGAGTCAGTGATCAACTTCAATAATAATCAAATAACGAATCAGTCCACCCGATATAAGGAATTTAAAACAAATTTAAAAAAGTAAAAAAAAAAGTTGTTGCTAGAAAAATTTCACCTCATTCAGTGTAGCCTTGTATCCAAGTTACCACAACCTAAAGTTTTTTGGCTATAGTTTTGTGTTATCCATAAACACTATCAGTGACTACGTATTAAGCTCTAAAACTTTTAAAAATGTTTAATTTCATTATCATAATAAATGCTAAATGTTAACTTAAAATAAATATTAAATTTATTTTTACAAAACGCATTTGTTGTTATTTATTATTTATTTTCAAATTTACCAAATATTCTGTACTGTATATTAGCTATTCTGTTCTGTATGGCAGATTTCTTTTTCGTTTTATTTTAAAAACTAGTTATATAGGTATTTTATATAGAAAATTTGAAATATCTGTCAATCAATGATTTTCACAGCTATGAATGTATATGTAATAAGTTGTCTGAACTATCTTCAGTTTTAAGTAATACTTTTCAACAAGATCTATAAAAAGATAAAAGAGAAATGTGACTATTAGACCTCATCATCTAAAAATCCTGTGATTCAATTTCTCCCAAATTTTATTTTTAAACTTGTCGGGATTTAAACTGTTCACACTCTACATTTGGTTAATGTATTACTGAATATTATCATCACCGTGTATGTAAATAAACTTTTTTTCTAATACTTTTTTTTAAGAATAAAATTGCTTCTCTTTCATCTTTTGTTTTTTTGATCTTCCATAGTTTTTTATTTACAAACAATTTACAATATATGCATTGCTAAAAATTATATATATATATATATATATATATATATATATATATATATATATACTTGGGCTACATCACATTTTTTCTTTAATTTTACTATATTTAAATTATTAACGATGATGTTACTCATCACTACTAATGTTGCACAAATGCGAGACCGAGACGAGTCTTGGTCTTGGAAACTCTGTTTTGGTTTAGGTCTTGGTCACGCGCAAGAGTCTCGATGTATATATATATATATGTATATACTATGGAGATATTACTGTATTTTTTTTAGATAGGGGTAACCTAACTAAACCCGAATGAAAAATTAGAAGAGTTAAATGCAAAAGTATATTGGTTATACCAATTCTTTACTTATAGTAACTAAAATTGTCAAGAATTAGTAACTACTTTGCCTTCATTTTTATTCAAAAAATCAATTTTTCTTCACCAGTTTTGGTCTTGGTCTAGCAAAACAGAGGCGGTTTTAGTCTCGGTCTTGCAAAGTACAAGACCAAGACCGATTTTGGACAACACTAATAACTACAATAACATTATCGTAAATAATTTAAATATATTATAGACATGATTGGTAGATATCTAATGCGAGAGCTCTCGTATAATTTTACAAAAATATTTACGATGGATAAAATAAATTTGAAAAATTATGTATCTGATTGAACACTTGTGCGGAATATAATACTCTGTAGTACAGATTTTGTTTTTACTAAACCATTAACATGTGCCTTTAACTTCAACATATTATCATGAACTACAACTTTTATTACATTTATTACAACTTTAAACTATCTAC